AATTTGCTATTGAAAAGAAAACATATAAGCTCTCCTTCTCTTTTATTAACTGCCAAATGGGCAGAAACAAAAAGATGAAAGAAAAAACAAAGCATAACGTGAGAGAAAGAGAGAAAAGTAAGGAAAAACAATAAGGAAATTGAGAAAATAACTTTATAAACTTGCAAGTTCAACCTATGAAACACAAAATCAAGTGAAGGAAGGAGGATTTGAGAAGGGGAATTCAGCTAACTTTGAAAAAGAAGAGAAATTGGAAGAAAAGCAATAAGTAAGCATGAGAAGTTTGGATTTAATGTTTGATTTAGATGTTTTCTTAAGCTTATTTGATTAAGTTAGGAAGTAATTTCATGGAATTTTACCTTAGTTTCCCTTAAATCCTAGATTTTTGAACTTAGGGTTCTTATGTGAATTTGGGGGAATTAGGAGGGGAAGGAAAAATAATGAAATTGAAGTGGAATAGATTGAAAACAAGTTGCAATAACAAGTAAATGAAGAAAATTTTAGGGGAGGAAAAAGAAACATAAATTCAAATTAAAAGAGAAATAAATTAGCTAAAAGAAAATATGAAGACAAGATGTCTAGGTTGTGTTTGAATATAGTATTTAGATAAAATAAATAATATGATGTGAGGGTATAAAGAATAGAAGAATTATTTGATGGAGGAATTATGAACATAGAGTAAGCAAAGAAGTAACTTAGTTAAATATGAGGTTGTATGTAAAATAATGATGTTATATTTGAGAATGAATTTTTATTAGAACAAATTACAAATAAAAATATTACTTGCTTTGTGTTTCGGCACGTAAAAAAAATATTGATGGCCTAATGATATAATGACACTTGATTGATTCAGGAGTTGTGTCTGGAACTGGTTATTAGACAGGAGGAGCTGGGTCATCTCGAGTAGAAGGTAGGTGATTCGTCACCTTATTTTGTAATTTTTAGTTTCCCTAATAATCTATGTTGCTTAGTTAATTGATATTAAACGAATGGATCAAATGAATAAATGGAGTCATGTGAATTACCGCTAAATTATGTGAAATTACCGGGTTTATTGGTTAACAAAGAAGTTAACCAGATATGAGGTAATTCGTATAGAATTTCCGGATTGTTTGGCTAATAAAAGAGGTTAGCCGAATGTTAGGTAATTCGAATGGAATTACCGGATTGATTGGCTAATAGAAGAGGTTAGCCGGGTAATTCATATGAATTACTGGATTGATTCTAGTAACCGAAATGGGTTAGCTGGATTTTTGGGTAATCAAGAAAATTACCGGGTTTATTGGTTAACAAAGAGGTTAACGGGATGATGAGTAATTCATATGAAATTACCAGGTTGATTGGTTAACAAAAAAAGGTTAGCTGGATGATGGGTAATTCGAATAGAAGTACTGAATCTATTGGTGACCGAGGAAGAAAACCAAATTTCTGAGTAATTATATAGAAGTGTTAGATTTATTTGGTAATTATGTCTAGACAGTAACAGTTGGAAAAGTCAGACAGTAAAAAGTTATTGAATTAAGATAAAAGTTATAATGACATATAATAGAAGTGTTGTCGATAACTTGGTACCAACAATAATAAAGGGAACTTTGTCAAAATTTTCAAAAAAAGATAACTCATAATTTTAAACATATTACTCAATACTTAACATTATTTAAAGAAATATTAGGAGATTTCATGATATTATAATTTGAGAGTGTTACATTTCAACTGGAAAAAAAAAAATTAAATATGTAATTTGGATGCAAGGTGTTACATTTCAACCGGAAAAAAAAATTAAATATGTAATTTGGATGCAATTTGGTGGCTAGTCTTGCAAACGAGACCGACTCATTCGTAGTGATGATGCAGCTGTCAAACATCAAGCTCGGACCTACAAGAAATGGTGAGGCATATTACAGCACTTAGGATAGGTAGAGCTCTATACCTTCGTTTTTTTTTTCTTCTTATATGCATAGCATGGACACACTCCTGAACATAGCCTACAGGTGGGTGGCCACTTTCTAGAGCTAAATCACAGGAAAAAATCTATCGGTTTCTAGTCGATCGTGCACTTACATGTATGTTGGAAAATGCAAGTAGTAAGATTCAATCCAATGATATTCTCTTCTCTTAATTAACTCTTTAACACTTAATTATTTTCGGTTCAACTACTAGCTCACTTGCTTAACTCCATACCACCTTCGTGTCCAAGCAGCAATGCAACACAAAAGGTAATAGAGGATTTACGATCCTGTTTCTGAGATGCAAATATTATTATCAATTTATAGCAGTATGTCCAAACCCTATTTTGAAAAACTCACGTAATCCAAAATTAATACTAGAATTTTGTTTTCCATTGCCCCATTAATTTTTGATAAGAAATTCATTAAAAATATGGATTAATAAAACTAGGCTCAAGGAGTTTTTTACTAAGAAAATTTACAATCTCATTATTTCTAAAACCTTATAAATAAACTAGAACTTTAATTTGGATGGCTTAAGTTTTTTCATCTTACATGAATTATCTTAAATAAATCTGAGGTAATTCTCCGGAACTTTAAGAAATTTACTACCGGAATTGGTTCGAACAATCAAAGTAATTTGGGTTATTTTTTTAACAATGCTCATATCTATTTACACTGATCATATGAACTGTCATGGTTGCATCGATTCTTTGTTTTTGGAAGGTGAGATTTAGTTCTTCGCATGTCTTCCAACTTTAATTTTACACCATGTAGTTCAAGAAACCTTCTTGTATAATTAATTTTGTGTTCGGTGAGGTTACAGAAGCACTAGCTGATTTCAATTTTGTAAACTAGCTCGCTCGAATTAATTAATGAATATCATATTCTTGGTTTGAATTCTCTGACATTAATTTTCCCTTTCTTCTTTTCTTTTATTTTTTTACACAAAAGTCGAAGGAAAAAACACCTTTTCTTTTCTTTTCTTGTAAATATTATCCAAAAACAATTTCCCAAGAATCATCATAAGATAACTATCTAAAGAAACAATAAGAGATACAAACCTAGCTACTAAATGGTATTTTACTAGCTAACATCCAACCAGGGGCGGAGCCAGGTGCATTTTACAGGGAAGGCCAAAATTAATATAATAATATATATTATTAAAAAACTTATTTATTTAAATTAAAAAATATTAAATAATAGAAAATTGTAAAATATTTTGCGGCCCCTGCTTGCCCTCCCCTGATTCCGTCCCTGCATCCAACCATCTAATTCCAACACAATTTAAGAATTAATATGATAAACTCTTGGGCTTAAAAAGAGGAGGAGTTTAACAACAGGGGCCCTTCTTTTTAATCCTCTAATCCTATTGTTTTTCTGATTAAAAATGATTAAATTGTCTTATTATTTATTAATTGTGAAACCTCACTTTTATATAAATCTAAGCTCTCTAACTTCAGAAATTATAAAAATCACACCGTTCTCTCATTGTTTTTCATTTTCAGAGAATATTACTCTCAATTCTTTAACAAAAACTCTAAAAGAAAAAAAAGAAAGAAGAAAGAAGACAGGCCCATTATAAAACGTCGGGCCTAAAACAAAACCATAAGCCCACCACACACTGTCAATTACAACTTCGGAAAATAAATTATTTGACTGGGCAGAGGGGGAAAACATAGAGAGAGTGACTTGGGGAGAGGGTCAGCAGAGCAGATCAGAGTGAAGAGTGTGAGCGTGAGGGAGGGTTCGATAATTAAGGAGGCCGAGGGTTTTTCAACAGCAACAACAAAGAGAAACAGAAAAATGTGGAGGAGGAGGAGTCATTTATTACTCAGCAACGCCGTAAGAACCTCCCACCACCTCTCCTCCTTATCGGCTTCCACCGCTTCCAGAGGCAGAACCCTCTTCACTCCCTCCTCCAATTCTCCCTTATTTAAACCCCCTTCTCTTCACTTAGCCCCAAACAACCGCCTTTCCTCTCCTCTCTCCTCCACCATCTCCGCCCGCCTCCTCCGCACCGGCCGCGACCCCTTCACCAGGTACATTCATCCCCCATTCCCTCCCTGTCTTTCTTCCATTTTTTATTATTAATTTATTATAATTCATTAGTTATGAGATTACGCCACCTGTGAATTGGGGGGTACGGATTGTGCCGGAGAAGAAAGCGTTTGTGGTAGAGAGATTTGGAAAGTACTTGAAGACGCTGCCATCTGGAATCCATTTCTTGATTCCTCTTGTCGATCGAATCGCCTATGTTCACTCTTTGAAGGAAGAGGCTATTCAGATTCCTGATCAATCTGCTATTACCAAAGACAATGTCAGCATCCTTATCGACGGCGTCCTCTATGTCAAGGTTTCCCCCTTCTCTTTCATTTCCCTTTCCCCTTTGGGTTAATCAATCATTTACTATTATTGATTCTCAAATTGTTGTGCAACAGATTGTGGATCCTAAGCTTGCCTCTTATGGTGTTGAGAATCCCATCTATGCTGTCGTTCAACTTGCCCAGACCGCTATGCGTAGTGAGCTTGGTAAGATTACTCTTGACAAGACCTTTGAAGAAAGAGACACTCTCAATGAAAAGATTGTGGTATGATACCTCTTTACTTCAATCACCCTTTCTTAGTGTATTCACATTATTTATTTATTTAGGAATGTGCTTTTTATGTGGAGTACATTTCGCCGTGAAGAGATTGGTTGCTTTGACATTTCGATTCATTAATAATATATTGAAATGCCAGACATAAATCATAAATGTGAGAAAAATTGGTTGCTGCTTCAGGAAATTGTGACTTGGTTCGTTCTTCAAAATTGTAATGACACTTCTCCGTTTCTTGTCTTATCAACCTAGTTAAAACTCTAAGGTTGTTTCGGAGTTTTAGTTGAAAATCAGGTATTTTAAGAAAACAAGGATGTTGTTGAATATGCAAGACTGTCACCATTTCTGCAGGAGGCCATTAATGTGGCTGCAACAGACTGGGGTCTCCGATGTCTTCGTTATGAAATAAGTGAGCCAGCCGCGCTTATCTTATTTGATATTCTATGTTGATTAGGTTCCTGTTGAATTTTCTGTTAGTGCTTCACTGTCCTCTCTTCTTTAGGGGATATATCTCCTCCACGTGGGGTGAAGCAAGCTATGGAGATGCAGGCAGAAGCAGAACGTAGAAAGAGAGCTCAAATTCTTGAGTCTGAAGGTAGTAAATGTAGTTTAATTTCTCAGTTTTACCTCAGCTTAATTAAACGTCTCTTTAATCAAACTTTGTTGCAGTTGACTTCATGCATCATTTTTATCTGTTTGTACAGAATTGTCATGCCATCTTCTCATGCTTGGTCGTTTTCCACCGCTACTTTTCATCGCATTTTTTCTGCCTCTCATATCTTTGCTGCTACATAATGCAGACACTTTTATTCACCTATCATATCTATAAATCTTTGTTATGCATGGCTTAATAATTGCAGGCAACCTTTTTTAGAATCATTTGTTCAATGTCATGAGGCATTGCAATATTTCTTCATTTGTCAATTCATTGCTAATCTTTTGTATTGATTATTTTTAACAGGAGAGAGACAGGCCAATATTAATATTGCTGATGGTCATAAGAGTGCTCAGATCTTGGCATCACAAGGTTAGTTTTCTTCTTGTGTGTCATAAGAATTCTGTTGGTTACAAGTTTCATTGGAGATGATTGTAACTTCTCTAGTGTTGTTTTGAAATAGAACTTGTTTTACTTCTTTAATGTTTATCATCCAATTGCCATCATTTCTTCACGGAAACTCCCTTCCTCAACAGGAGAGAAACAAGCACTCATCAACAAAGCACAAGGTTAGCTTTCTCATGTCTCTTTGCTGTGCAATAATCAATTGATGCTCCTCTATTTCATTTTCTAGACCCATAAGCCGTTCTAAATTAGTAGATAACCAAACAAAATTCATGAGGTGATATGATGGCTTATCTTGTTACAGTTATTTTGTAGGCAGCTAATCTCATTTTTCTTTCAATCCTTGTCTTTCGTATATCCTTGTGTATATGTGCAATGATCCACTGATTATGATTGGGTTTCATTGGAGATGGCTGTAGCATCTCAAGTATTACTTTTTAAACAAACCACATGATGTGAGAACATATTTGTTATTATATGACTTTTCATATCTGTTGAAGCTTGCTTTTACATGGTAGTGCTGGTACCTAGTTGCACTTAAAAATAGGTTTGGTTCTTAATTTGCTCTTCTAGTCTCCTGGATTGTTTAGCATTGGATGCTCTAGCTTTTCATTTTCTAGACCCATTAGCTACTGTACAATATTTGATAACCAGCCAGACTTGATCGGGCAATATCATGGCTTATCTTTATATAGTTCTCATATGATCAGCTGCCAATCTCACATCCTTTTAAATCCTTATCAATAATATTTTAGGTGAGGCTGAAGCCATCATTGCTAAAGCAAAAGCAACAGCCAAAGGAATTGCCATTGTGTCAGAGAATATTAAAGAGAGTGGGGGAATTGAGGTGAGGTTCTCCATGTAGATTTTGATATGGTTGTGTAAACAAGATATATCCCTTAGATTAGTGATTTTGCAAGTGTTTTATACCACGTGATTTGTGATTCTTGCATTTTAGCGTTCACAAGACAATTAACTGTGACATGCATATCTTATGTGCATCAAGGCTCATGTTTGTGGCATGATTTGCAGGCGGCTAGTTTGAAAATTGCTGAGCAATATGTGGGGGCTTTTGGTAACATTGCCAAAGAGGTGAGGAGATTATTCAAATGTGCTTGTGATTGTCTGGTTTGATAAGCAATTAGTTTACAATTTCTCTGATGTTTGTTCTTCTTTTCCTTCTGTCCCTTCTTTTTTTCCTTTTTCAGGGGACAACAATTCTGCTTCCCAGTGCTACTGGCAATCCTGCCAATATTATGGCTCAAGCTTTCACTATGTATAAGAACCTGCTCGGTAATGTTTCCAGTGGTGGTCCTCATGTATCTTCTTCATTAGTGGAAGGTGCATCTGTTGAACCTGTGGATCCAGCCACAATTATAGAGGACAATGCTACCTCCCATGAAACTAAAGCCAAGGACGAGAGTGCCAGAGATAACAGTGAAACTGGATTTTCACTTCAGAGCAGCAAAAAAGGGAAAGCTGAGTAGAGTTTGTGGAATATGAAGGAATGATGAGTTGATTTTGCCAAAAGTATTCACCAAACTTTGATTTTTCTTTTTTCTTTTTTCCAGTTGTATGACTAATTACAAAAGCCAGATTCTAAGTTTAGCCTTTCAAAGAGAGAAAATTCGAAGACTAGAACATAGGGTGGGGGTGGGGGGTACTGAAACCATTCAGTTTGTTCTCGTGCCTGCTGTATTGTCCTGGATCTCCAACTTCAAATCAACGGAGACTGGAGAGTTTTGCTAACAAATCTACATGGGAGAACCATTGAGGTTATTTTGCAGGAGTGAGGCGACCGTTTGCACATATTGCCTTAGCTGTGTCCGCCTAGCTGGATCATTTTTTCTTCGTGAATTTGTTTAAATAAAGGTGCAGAATGACTGCCTTAACAACTATTTGATATGCAGATCGATTCCGGACCGCAAATAGTGTTATTTTCTGAACTTGTGTATGCGCAACAAAGTGGCTCCAACAAAATGATCGTTATGGGTACTGGAGGTGGGCAAAAGCAGGCGTTGAGCCTCCATGCAAAGACAAAGCTTGTATGGAAAATATATTCACATTTACAGAACAGATGCGTGATTGATGATTAATCAACACAGTAATTAATAATAATAAAAAAGGGAACCCTTTAACTTTGGAAGAAACAAGGCAGCATTAGCGCAACAGCAAGATGAAAAGAAAATAATTGAGTTCGAGTTTGAGTTAAGCAATAATGTTTGTATTAACTGTTATAGGCATGCACAAGAATATATATATATATAGCCGGGAAAATCCACCACAAAAGGAGGGGGGATCAAAAGAAGCCAAAGAAGATGGAGAAACCAAGAACAAGGAGCCAAACAAGATGAACAAGGAGCAGAGCCTAAGCAGCAGCAGCCCCATTATTTCCAACCTCACAGAAACCCTTCTTGGCCACCTTGGTCCCTGCGCGTCGTGCATCATCACATCCACACCAGTAAGTCACACCGTCCATGCAACAAAACGGGTCTGGCCGGAAGCACTTAACAGGACAGGAGGAGACAAGGGGTGTTCTGCTCCATTCTCCACACGCATCGTCACTGTTGTTGTTCTTGTTGATGTTGTGTTGGGTGGATAATCGAATTGGATTAGAATGTGATAGAACAGCGGGGATAGAGCAGAGGGAAATGGTGATGATGAGGAGGACGTGTATTAACAATGTGGATTGCGTCGTCGTCGTCGTCTCTGGGAACGGAAGCTGCTGATACATAAATCATGGGACATCCAGTTGCAATTTCGTTCCCAATATGAAAAATTAAAACAAAAAGAATTGAAAGGGGTTTGATTCTGATTCTGCGTGTGATTTTTGGTACTCTATCATGGAAAGAAAAAATAACACAGTGAAAAAATATATTTTAAAAAATAATATAATTTAGAGCATATATAATTCGCAAGTCTCAAGTTTAAATGCAAAATTGATGGATATAAATTTTTTAAAAAAAAACATAGTAGATTTGTATTTAAAAAAATAATAATAAATGTTTTTATTATATATAATAATTTGTCTTCAATAAAATTATCTCATTAACATGATTAAAATAAAAATTAACACAATTAAAACAAAACATTTGTGGGCTGAACTTGGATTTGGTTTTTTTCAACTTATTTTATATTATATTTTTAATTTTTTAATTTTATATTTTAATATTTAATTATAAAAAATTGAGCTTTATTTTTTTATTTTATTTTTAATAAAGTTGCTATATTATCATTTTATTTTTATTTTTTGTTACTAAGAACCTTCAATATGTGATTTTTTTTTAAATGAAATCATTTGATTGATTACAAATTAATATTTATGTTTTATTTGTTATTTTCTACAAAGTTAGTAGGGTAATCTAATTTGACTCAAGTTTTTTTTATTTTTTTTAATTTTATTTTTTAATATTAAATTATTTTATAATTAAATTTAATAATTTTATTTAATTTATTTTTGACAGGGTTAACATGTGTCACAATTAAGGTTTATATTTGATGTGCAAACTAATATGGGCTTAAATCAAGTTTTTTCAATTTTTTGTATTATTAGTGTTGTTTCACTTTATTTGTAATTTTTATATTTTTTTTATTTGTGTTATTAAATTAACTAAATTTATTAAATTCAATTGAATAAATAGCTCGAGTCAAAAAAAAAAATTCACTTTTTAAAAACATATACATTACCCTAACATTTTTTTTCTTTTTTGTTTACATTGCAAAATAACTATATCGAGTAATAACGTCGTGCAGGTCACTTACCCAGTGATCTAAGTAATCAAGGGCGGGCGTTTGTTATGGGGGAAAAAAAAATCAGAGTTGAGAGGTCATGCATTCTTAGGACATGTAGGAGTGAAGCCAGCGAAAGTCATTAGGAGCCAACGAAACAACGAGTTTTTAAGTGCAAATGGCTGTCTGGCTCCAACATGAAAGTCGCCATTTACAAACATGCTGTCCATAGGAAAAGGTCATGGACTGGATTTCCAAAAACAAATTTGTCCCAAATATAGAAAGCTTCTGCAGCTATATTATGCTCCCCATCATTATCAAAGTTGATACCTCGACCTTAACTCGCCTTCTTGGGAACTGGTAGCTGTTCGTATTTGTCATTTTGATCTCTCTGCCTCCTCAGACTCCCGCATTCATCCGACAGGTAAGAAACATAATGGGAGGCTGTGCGGGTAAATTCAAGGGCTCTGATGATTTGCCTCCAGAGCCCCTCCCAAGTGAAGCTCCTGTCAACCCTGGCCAGGCTGAGGGAGAGACCGTTGCTCAGGTATGTTAATTACCTTTTTATCGTTCTTTCTTTCTTTCTTTGTGTGTGTGTGTTAATGATCTCTTAATCACGTAACTATTAGTCTTACAATCCAGTTTGTGTGAATTAATGTAGGAGGAGGAGGTAGGTGAGAACAAGACACAAGCACCTTTGGTAGATGTCCATGAGAAAAAACCGGAGGGTGAGAAACCCGATGAGCCTGAGAAGAAAGATGAAATCCCTGTAGCTAAATCAGAGGACAAGGTTGAGGCCACTTCTGTCATCACCGAGGAGCCGGCCAAGGAAACTGAGAAGAAGGAATTGGATGTGGCTCCTGCCAAAGAAGCAAATACAGATGCTCCACTAGTTACCGTGTAATCTGAACGAGCATAAATTGTAATGACAGACATTTATAAAACAGATAATCATATGTGCAAGAAATTCCAAATGTTGATATGAGATTATTGGTTTTTTACATCTGGTACTGCCAAACTTGTGTGGCTGGGTTTCTCTCTCTCTCTCCTTCTGCGTTCGTAGATACTTTCTGTTTTCGTTTTGCTGCTAAGACATATTTTTGACAACTTGTGGTGGAAAATCGAACCTGATAAGTGAAAAGGCAACAACGGTCAAGTGCTTGCGTTAATTTTCTAAGATAACTTTCAACGACGATGTTACAAGCTGACACAATAATCGTTCTTACACTGGGAAGCCTGAATTTTCATTTGCTCAAAATTGGAGAGAAGGTTTCTTTGGTAACAGCTCTTGCAAAACATGGTTGCGTTTCCGTACCAATGCTATCCCGTTCCATCCTGGCTTGAGTCTTCTCCTAAAGGGAATAGACTGCTGCTCCACAGCTGCATTAGATTTACCCCTAGGTCCTGTTACGGAAGTCAGAGAGAAATCACTGTTCTTTTTTTTTTTAAAAAAAAAAAAAAAACCTTCAAGGATTGCCTTCCCATTTCAATATAAATTCCAAAGAAGAGGTTTAGGTCATGCTGAATAATTAGCCTGTAAAAAATTCATGATTTTTAATTTAATTATTGACCTGTACTTAAATTTTATACTTTGTTTGATAGCATTTTAACCTGTTAAGGCCTGCAAGACCTCCAAATTAAGCTTGAAAGATGCTTTTAAACTATTTTTGTTACTTTTTATATTTTTGAATTTCTTAGTTTGTTTATGATTTTTTATAGTTTTTTATTTTATTCTCGAGTTTTCTTATTTATTCAGGTTAGTTCTTAGATTTACTTAGAAAGTTATGCATCTTTTTGAAAGAGAGATTACTTGAAAAAAATAATTCTTAAATTAGAATTTGTGTGTCACCACACTATTTGGCACAATTCTTTGTTACTTTTTTCGTGTTGCATTTCATTTATTGTTTTCGATTGCAGTGTTGGTATGTCAACCTAACTAATCATTGTCAACTTCTTGACAATGCAGAAAGTGACAACTATTACAGTTAACTTCGGAATTACCAAGACATACTTCTTGCTCTGCACTAAATACAAGTTACTAAAATCCATCAAGGGAAGATTGACCTTGTGGTATTCATAAGAAGGTTTCTGCCATGATGTGGTGAAAAACAGCTTTACTTTATTCATGTTCAGACAGTAACGTAAGAGCTACAAGTATATGAAGAATCACCGAAGTATGATGACATCAAGATTCTCATCTGTTAGAAATATGCAAGAGGACATTTCATGTCTGACGAAGAAAACTTTTCTTTCTTTCTCGATTAGGCAATTCCAGCTAACACTTCTGTTCCGTGTATTAAGAAATACCAATTACAATAGATTAACTTTAATGATCGGAGAAAAGGGCAACTAAGACATACTGCAAAAGACATAATATTTTGGATTACCCTTGAATCATCTAAGTAGCAGAAATGGACTTAGATTATACTGGCTTGCTATTGTTATCCATAGATGCAGGGTTGATTGATGGCTCCTCACCCTTCTGGTCGTCCTTGATCACAAGCATGGCTAGGATCGCAAGCAATGGATTACTCACTGTTGTGAAGGACCAATTCACAATCAACTGGGTAAGTAATGGAACTTTGCGTGCATCCACTTGCCAAGCAACTGCAGCCCCTGCACTCTGCACTCCCTTGTAAAATACTACATATCTGCAATCACATGCAAATAACATAGTTTAGCATATGATCGATATCACACATAGACCCTTCAATTACTTTTCTATTTCTACTTCCCACGGAACATGAATTACCTCCTAAGAATCTCAGAGTCATCAGCCAAGGCCCCAATCACCCAGTACCCATAACTGAAATACAAAATGAAAGGCCCTGCGAAATCGGAACCTGAGTCCTTGAAATCCAACTTGGGAGGTAGGTCATTGCGGCTATATCCTACCTGCTTCGCAAGTCCACCTGCCCAGATAGCAGTCCCGAGCGCAGCAACAATTCCAATCCCAACAAATCCCCTCTTCCTCCTACTCTTGAAGCTGAAATCCAATATGTATCCAATCACAATAGAACCCACCATCTGGGGCCCCCAATAGAACACATTGTTCAATCCCCTTGTCCTCAAATTAAAGAGTGCTCCATTCACATTATTGAACTGGTAAATGTGTACAAAGTTGCTGGCCCAGGCAGCAGGAGCAATAAAAAGCACCTTCCAATTGAAGAACAACTAACCAATCTCCACAACCTAAGTAGAAAATTTGAAGTACTTAATGTTTGTGCAGCGTGTGCCATCATCGCGAACCACTTTGCTCGGCGGCAAGATGGCTAATGACAGCAGAGTCCCTGCCGTCATAAAACACATGAATCCAATATAAGTCCCATCATTAACAGAAGCAGCCTCACTCCGATTGTAGTTAAGAATGAAAGGAATCAGCCCACCAATAACACCTCCCATGTTGAAAATGCTCCAAAACAGAGAAATATAAGTCCCCTTCCGATGTTGGGGAGGATAAGAGGTCACGATCGCCCCTTCTCCAGCCCATAAGAAGCCAGCACCAATGCCAAGAACGGCACCGGAAACAATAGCAAAAGCTTGGTGCTGTTGGTGATTATAATCAAGAAAAGAACCTGCATACAACACGTAAGTGCTGCAGCCTGAAGCTAAGGTCAAGCGAGGACTAAGAATGTTGTAAATTCCACCACCAAGAATGCCAAAGATGGCAAAGGTGGTGTAAAGGGCGGTGTTGGCATTGTTGGCAGCAGTGGGATTCTCCTGCCCACCACCTCCCAAACCAGCGAGGGCATTGAACATACCTGGACAACAGAAACAGACAAGTCCTATGGGTGTGACTTGGACCAATGGTGAGTTGTACCTGAATCTTGCTTTGGTTGACACTTGGGTGTCATCACCTTCGAAACCCATGTCAGGTCAGGATTGTGTTGATTGTTTGTTTCCTGGTATTTGAAAGAGAGAGATTTGAGATGAGGATGAAGATGAAGATACAGGTGGTGAATTTATGAACACTTGAAAAGGGGGTTGGGATTTTAGCTTTCCGGTTCCTGTACCAGCAAGACAGAGAACGATGAGTTTGAAGGCATTGTCAAGGAAATGGCAATGATCAGATAGATTAACCATGAGGATTTTTTTTGCTTTGTTCCAGACTTTATGATTTTGATCTCGACTTAAAACTGGGTTTTTTCATAAAACTAACTCACAGCACTTGAGATTTATAAAGATTTAGAGTTTAGTTTATGATTACTATGTTAATTATAATGAAATACCACCAAAAAGAGCAGAGAATGTCATCTGGCGTGAACCCTGCAAGAATGCTAGCTCCAACTCTTCCTCTTGGCATCAAATGGGATAGCGAATGGATCCGAACGAGGCGCCGGCCCCGCCGGCTGACTTTTGTAGACTGCGATTTTCACATGAGAGCAGATGACATCACTCTTGGCTCTCTCTTGCTTGCCAGTTGTTCAAAATCAAGCTTTACGAAGGGGCATTCCCCTCGTGCCGCTTTCTACGGCATCATTTTTCTCTCAGCAATAATAATAGTAAAAAGGATATCAGCAATGATAAAAATAGTAATTAAAAAAAGAGGGTATCGTATATTCATTTGCATCTGAGGGAGTTGACTGTGGCTGCAGATTCCAAATACTAAAGAACAAAATTATCCACTTAGATCTTGTGTCTGGATTCTTTTGGATCCTCGACAGCAATTTACAGCGTGTTAGACAGCTGATTCTGGTATCCACCTTCTCTCTGTCTCCTGTACTCTCAGCCACCCACCCTACCTGGAGGTAACAAAACATCGAAGCAATCTACCATCTTAAAGTCATACTATGTTGCCTAACTATGTGGAAGTGGTGCTCCAAATCTATTTCCCTTTTATTTTTATTTTCTTATTTCAATTACACCCATTAGATGTAGATATTAAATTCCTGTCAATTTCCAGGTAATTTTAATATTTGTTTCTTTCATTTGAATTATATATTTTCTTAGTGAGGAGTTGCACTCAAATAAATTATATGTCCCAATCGATATCACCCCACGCTCCCTGGGATTAATATAGAGAGAACCGACCTTTCGATTCTCCGATTAAATATTTTTATTAAGTCTATTCCACCAATTTGTGACATTTGTGCCCAAAATGCTAAATTCTAATAAAAATATTATAAGATAGAACAAAACACAGGTGAAATTATATTTTTTAAAAAAAAATTAAAATGTTTTATTTAAACAGTTGAAATTATTATTTTAATACGATAATGTTACAAATAATTTTTTTAAAATAAAAAAAATTATTGATAATGTTACAAATAATTTTTTTTAAATAAAAAGAATTATTTTTAACCATAATCATTGCAATACTCTTACTCTCATGCACTCTTTAAATATTATTCAGTGACGTGAAGAACTGCACCATAAATCTCAATACATGAATAAATTTATTTTTGTAAAATAAATATATAGGATGGATGGATGGGTGAGAATGCCAATCCTAATAGGAGGCCTGCAGATTCTCTGACGAATCTGATATCGTCATTCTCCTTGTCTCGCTAGCCGAAGGGCTAGAAGGCTAAAAGCCCAAGTGTCCATAAATTCAACCCATCTTTCTTCATCCTCATCTCCTCTCCAGATCAACAACTCCAAAACAGCCCCCCACAACCAGCCCCCCGCCCCCCCTCTCCAAAACCAGGAAACAAACAATCAACACAATCCTGACCCGACATGGGTTTCGAAGGAGATGAGGAATCAGCCGCCAACCAAGTGTCAACCAAATCAAGATTCAGGTACAACTCACCATTGGTCCAAGTCACCCTCATAGGACTCGTCTGCTTCTGTTGTCCTGGTATGTTCAATGCTCTCTCTGGTATGGGAGGTGGTGGCCAGGTGAATCCCACTGCCGCCAACAATGCTAACACCGCCCTTTACACCACCTTCGCCATCTTTGGCGTTCTTGGTGGTGGTATTTACAACATTCTTGGTCCTCGCTTGACCTTAGCTGCTGGCTGCAGCACTTACGTGTTATATGCGGGCTCTTTTCTTTATTACAATCACAAACAGCATCAATCTTTTGCTATTGTTGCTGGTGCCATTCTTGGCATCGGTGCTGGTTTCTTATGGGCTGGAGAAGGGGCGATCATGACCTCTTATCCTCCCCCACATCGTAAGGGGACTTATATTTCTCTGTTTTGGAGCATTTTCAACATGGGAGGTGTTATTGGTGGGCTGATTCCTTTCATTCTTAACTACAATCGGAGTGAGGCTGCTTCTGTTAATGATGGGACTTATATTGGATTCATGTGTTTTATGACGGCAGGGACTCTGCTGTCATTAGCCATCTTGCCGCCGAGCAAAGTGGTTCGCGATGATGGCACACGGTGCACAAACATCAAGTACTCTAAGATGTCTACTGAGGCTGTGGAGATTGTTAAGTTGTTCTTCAATTGGAAGATGCTTTTAATTGCTCCTGCTGCCTGGGCCAGCAACTTTTTTTACAGTTACCAGTTCAATAATGTGAATGGGGCACTCTTTAATTTGAGGACAAGGGGATTGAACAATGTGTTCTATTGGGGGGCCCAGATGGTGGGTTCTGTTGGGATTGGATACATATTGGATTTCAGCTTCCAGAGTAGGAGGAAGAGGGGCTTTGTTGGGATTGGAATTGTTGCTGCGCTCCGGACTGCTATCTGGGCAGGTGGACTGGCGAAGCAGGTAGGATATAAACACAATGATCTACCACCCAAGTTGGATTTCAAGGACTCCGGTTCCGATTTCGCAGGGCCTTTCGTTTTGTATTTCAGTTACGGACTGCTAGATGCCATGTTCCAAAGCATGGTCTACTGGGTGATTGGGGCCTTGGCTGATGACTCTGAGATTCTTAGCAGGTAATTCATGTTATGTGGGAAACAGAAATAGGTGAAAAGTAATTGAAGGGTTTGTGTGTCTTATCTATCATATGCTAAACTATGTTATTTGCATGTAATTGCAGATATGTCGGATTTTACAAGGGAGTGCAGAGTGCAGGAGCCGCAGTTGCCTGGCAAGTGGATGCACACAAAGTTCCATTACTTAGCCAGTTGATTGTGAATTGGTCCCTCACCACCGTGAGTTACCCATTGCTTGCAATCCTAGTCATGCTCGCCGTCAAGGACGATCAGAAGGGTGAAGAGCCATCAATTAACCCTGCATCTATGGATAACAATAGCAAGCCAGTTTGATCCAAAATATTATTTCTTGTGCAGTGTGTCTTAGTTTCCTTTTTCTCCGATCATTGAAGTTAATTTACTTGTATTTTGTCGTCCTTGATAAACGAAACAGAATTGTCTGCTGGAATTGTCTAATCAAGAATTGAAAATAATTTGCTCTCTGTCAGACATGAAATCTCCCCGCGCATATTTCTGACAAATGAGAATCATGACGTCTTCAAACTTTCGTGACTTTAGCACTCACTTCTTGCTCTCACATTAATGTTTGAACATTAATAGAGTAAAGTTGTTTTCACTACATCATGGCAGAAACCTTCTTATGAATACCACGACTCAATTTTCCCTGGATGGATTTTTGTACTTGGATTTAGTGTAGAGCAAGAGTATGTATAGCTGTTTCCTAAGTTATCTATAGTAGTTGTAACCTTCTGCATTGTCAAGGAGACGGCAATGATCAGATAGATTGAGATGTAATTCTTAGTTTCCACATGTCCTATAGCATAATGTCATTGTCCCAGAATTGGAAGATATCGTTTGTCCTGCTGCAAGTTCAACATGGTGTCACCTTGAGAAGGCCCCTAGATCACGATTTAGCTTGATAGACTGTTCTGATCACTTGGCCCGTAAAATACACATTATCGGCCAAAAAATAACTAACCATGTTCAACTGTGAAATTTAGGAAGATTTCGAAGCTCAAACCAAATAAGTTTGGAGGTATTATCTATTTATAAATAAAAATAAGGGGATAAATACCATAAATCATTATGCTAATTATGTTATAAATTAGGTCAATAACTTATTTTCATTTATATTTGACTGATTATGCCAACAACTCTATTTTTTTTATTAATTATATAAATTTAATTAAATGATGGCTTTCAGCATACCGTGACATTAGTTTGCACATGCACATAAGAAAGAAAACATCTGGCTTGGAGTACTGTTTGGTTTGAGCTTCGAAATCTTCCTAAATTTCAGACAGTTCGAATATGACAACGCAAGGGATAAGAGTTCGTACCTTATTCATCTTCTCTCATTTTTTCTTCCTATATTCCGCCTTTCACTTGTTTCGTCTTTAATTCCATCTCTACTCTTGCACTCTACGTACCTTTTCTTTGACCTGCACTCCTTTTTTCTTTTTTTTCTCTTTTCTCTTTTGTTCTTGATTCTTAACTGCAAGCTCGAAATCAAAATAAAATAGAATAAGCTTCGTAAATGGCTAAATTCTTTTTCAAAAAGGATAAATCTTTCAGAAAAAATTTGTATTTTTTTTTTAGAACTGTTTTAAAAACAGAAAAAATTTATATCTTTGAGAATTCTTGTATTTTTTTTTTAGAACTGTTTTAAAATTAGGGATAAAAAAGAGTTATTATATGATCAATGTTCGAAAATGCTAAAACCATTTCTTTGAGCCTACCGTGCTTTCCAATAAAAATTTTTAAAAAATAAAGGTTACGGAAGAAAAGTGAGTGAAAATATATAATAATTATATTTAAATGGATACTTAAATTGAGACTGATAAAAAAAGACAGAGAGAATAGAAGGTTTGATGCCTTTTAACAATATATAATAATTGAAAAACCTTTTGAAGTTTGATACTTTCTTCTCTTTAATCTGTTTTTCATTTTAAGAATTTTAAATTAATGTTTTTTATAATAATTTTAATATAATGATATTAAAAATAAAAGAAATAAAAAAATTGTTATTTTATTACACTTGAATCGAAAACTCTGGACCTCGTATGAATAGGAAAGATACGTCATCTTTGATTAGCCTGCTGATTTTTGAACCAAATGATTTAGATAAGCCCCCATGTCCTTGAAGAATTATTGCCTGTTCCATCCCTCCGCTCTCATTTATAAAATAAACTGTGGCTTTTTTTTTTAATGCTTACAGGTTATTTTATAAAAAAAAATAAAATTTTTATTTTTTATTGTTTTAATATTAATACTTACAGGTTATTTTATAAAAAAAATTAAAATTTTTATTTTTTATTGTTTTAATATGTTGATATTAAAAATAAATTTTAAAAATAAAATAAATTATTTTAATAGATTTATAAGTAAATATTTTTTTTTTATTATTCTTTCTGGGTCGCTAGCTATCACTACTACCATCTAAGTTGTCAATCACAGAAGGACCAGTGGTGGAGAATATCGCAGCAATGCAGAGAGTGAAGAAATTGTATCTTGAATTCTTACTCGTGACACTCACAGAGTAGCGCGTTCGTCAAGAGAATGCTCTCCGCCACTGCCACTGCCACCGCTGGGGTGGTATTTGGAAGCAATTGGATAACATTACTTACCACTCCTACTAGAATATTATATTTTTGTCATCGCGCTGCTGCTGTTTCTGGTCTCCCACTAAATATCAACATCACTCGTAGACCTCGTCATAGATTGCGCAAAAATTCTTGCTCCTTCTCTTCCACCTCCTCCCCGTTCCCGTCAATTTTAACAGAACCAGACGACGGCAATCAGAAGAAATCTGTTAATGACGCTCGATATTCAAGTCTAAGAGTATTGGAATGGGATAAGCTCTGCGACTTGGTTTCGTCCTTCGCCACTACTTCCTTAGGCCGTGAAGCCTGTAAGGAGCAATTATGGTCCCTCAATCACACCTACCAACACAGCTTGATCCTCTTGAAAGAAACCAACGCCGCTGTCCAAATGCACAACCATGGCGCTTGCCGCTTGGACTTCTCCTCCATTGATCTTCTCTTAGTTACTCTCCTCTTCTACTTCTTTTCGTGTTTTTGAATCTTGAATTGCTCACCAAGTGTTTGATTTTTATTTTTTTTGTTTCTTTGACTGGAAAATATACAGGTAAAATCTGGTCTTCGAAATGCTAGACGGGGGGGGTTACCCATCAATGCTAATGAAGCAATGGCTGTTGCTGCTATCCTGGAGTCTGCCTATTTCTTGCAACTCAATCTCAAAGCTGCAATCAAGGAAGATGCTGATTGGTACAATCGCTTTATGCCTCTTTCACAACTGGTTGGTACTTAGTATACACATTAATTCATTCGAAAAAAGCTCTATATTTTCTTTGTCTAATTGCGTGGAGATATTATTTCTGTTTTCTTTTTATTATCTCGTAGATAATGGAAATGGTTATCAATGTATCATTAGTCAGGGTGATAAAACAAGTTATAGATGAAGATGGCTCTGTCAAAGACTCTGCTGTATGTTTATTCCTTCATTTACTTATATGGTTTACTTTCACTTTCTCTTCTTGTTTTATATCTGATTTTAATTTTGGTTTTCCGTTTTGTCTCAGAGTTCTGCTTTAAAACGAGCTCGTGATCAGGTTCAGCTGCTTGAGAAAAAGGTGGAAAAAAAAACAAAACACTGCCTGTGCCTTTTCTTTTCTCATAATTGAATTCATTTAGTATAAATTTCTAGTTACGCCTCCTATCTGTGATTTAAGAATAACTAGCGAAGCCCATCTTGCTTACCAAATACTTTTTGCTGCTACTGTTACATTTCTTTTGAATTTCTTGTAAGAAGCGAAGACGGGGTGTAGTTATGTTATGTAACGTGAAATAGTGGATGAAGCTATGTTTAGTTTCTAACAATACCATCCCTTTTAAGTTAAAAGTCAGGCCTTCAAACGGGCTTCCTTTGTTTCGCCTGTGAAATTTACTGGAGGATAGGGATGTTCTCCTTTTATTGAGCATATCAACCTTTTCCTGGGAAAAAAAAATCTAGCACAGGGTTGGGTGACCTTTGGTTAGGGTGTTGATTTCTGGATGCCATTTACTATATGATGGTGCAAACTCTCTTCTGCATTCTACCGAAGCTTTTTATTATTATTATTATTTGAATAACGGTTGATTGCATTTAATCTGATAAATGTGCACCACTAAATAACTTGGGTAGTTAAGTATCCCTTCTCGATGGATCTTGAGGTCTTCTTGATGGATCTTGGGGTGTCATAGTAGTAGCTATATATAATTTCCTCGTATACACTCCTATTCAAAACTCATTTTAATGATTTTCATCCTTGGTGCTTCATTTTGAACCCTTCTATCACTTTCTTTTTCAGCTGTCTCAGTTAATGGACAGCCTGATTAGGAATGAAATGAAAGAGACATCTTTTCTGGTAAGATGAGTGATAATTTTGTGTTGACTGTCTTTTCCTTTTCTTTTTTTTCTATTCTAGTTTGGTAACTGTTCTTTGTTTAGGAAGTGAGTAACATTGATGGCAGATGGTGTATAAACTCAGGGACTGGTCAGCTGACAAGTTTTAATGGCCTTTTGCTGTCCAGGTGAGTGTGATTAGTTTCTTGGCATTTGGTTTTCAATTTACATATAAAGTACATGTTGCTTAATGATGAACAAATTCATGTATTCTCTCTGTCTATCTTTCTCACACACACATGCACTCTGCACGCACAAAGGAAAACAATTCATACTCCCCACTGAAAATTTAACTCATTTATCACCATGATAGTACATGATTGAAGGTGCATTGTTATCTAGTCACAACACGGTGGACCAAAATCCTGTCTAATAAAACCTAACACAACTATGAAGAGCTAACCTTTCTGCTCTCAATGCTAATATAAGCCATCAATAATGCAGAAAGCACTCATCAGGAACTCCTTTTCTCACTTTTTACATTGAAAAAATTGTATCATGCAAGTCTGAGCCCATTGGCTGTGGAAACTTTGCATGTTGATTCTTGATTAGTTATTTGGTGGCATAAAAAATATAGATGACTAATCTACAGTGATGTATCTGTTTAGTTCTTAGAGAATCTATAGAACAACTTCTGATCACTAAAATATACATAACAAAATAAATTTGGTAAATGCTAGCTTCAAAACCCTGTTGCTGAAATATTGTTCCCTAACTATTCCTTTGTATCAATCAGATTTTCATTTACAAGAGCTTAGCTCTTTATATGTTATTCCTGAAGGGTAATTTACTGCTGTAGTGATTCAGGAACTGGAAGAATTATAGAGCCACTCTCAGCAGTTCCTTTAAATGATGAGCTGCAACAAGCAAGAGCATCAGTTGCAAAGGCAGAGGCAGATGTGCTTTTGATGTTAACAGAAAAGGTGTTTTATCTGTTTTTATCCATTATCAATATCATTTCTTCAATCATCTTGTTTTAATTTGCAACTGTTGCAGATGAGAAGGGATCTTGATGACATTGAGAAAGTATCAGACAGTGTAATTCAACTGGATGTGGTGGGTGCCCAACCAATATGTCTCTCTATCTTATCTCTCTATCTCTCTCTCTTGCTCTCTCTCTCTCAGACACACACACACACACACACACAGAGTCCATTAATGTTTTTTAGTAGATTCACTCCTGCATATTTACTTGTCCCTCTCTTCCATATGATGCATTCATTATGGAACCTTAGTAGTAAGAGATAGAGTTGGTGATGATAATCAGAAAGCTGAGTTTGTGTAGTTGCAACGCTGTATAGTTTTTATGATTTGATTGCTTTAATATCACTTAGAGCTTGGAGGTGCTAAAGGAATTGAGCTGGAATATTCTCTATGAATTGTATTATGGTCACAATTATGGTTGCAAATAGTATAAAATGAGGATTATAAGCAAGAATTCTAACTTCTGTTACCTTTGGAGAACAATTGCTGGAAGAACATGGTTGCACATGCAAGTGTGAAAGCTGTCCCGGCCTTTAAATATATTGATACTGCAATTTTATTTGTGGTTTTCAAATTTCAATTCCCTTTCACATTTTAAATTAAACACTTGTTGTTGGTAAATTATTATACATTTATATCTGATTTGGTTCTTAACATGTAGATCAATGCCCGGGCAACTTATAGTCTTTGTTTCAGAGGAGCATCTCCCAGTTTGTATCTTTCAGAAGAACTGGATGGGTCTTTTTCCACTGAAACTTATTTATCAGAAAATGAAACCTTGATGGCATCATTTCCCAAAGAGAGAGAGTGGCTATTGTACATGCCTAAAGCCTATCATCCTTTGATGCTCCAGCAACATAGACAAAATGTGCAGAAAGCAAAAAAGGAAGGCAGTAATGCTCCTGATGTAAGTTATACTGGGCTAATGAGCAACATTCATTTTCTTTTAGTTGAGAATGTTCTATCTCTCTTTCCCCCCTGGAATAGAATGTTCTATCTCTCTTTTTCCCCCTGGAATGGACATCTGCCACACAAGTACATGAATATATATAGGGTTAATATTTGAATCATTCTAAAGGCTTGCATTTTTTCTGTTTCAAGAGAAAACTGGAAGGAGATAATGGATGATGGGTGTGGAAAGTAGAGCCATATTTAGATCTTCGATCTTTAGAATGGATGTAACCACATAATTTCATTGATTGATTATTATAATCGTCAGTTGGCTGTACTTTCATTTTCTAATGAAACTCAAAAGTGTTTAAATGTATTTCTTAAAGAACAATTACAGTTTCTGTTTTTGAGGCAAATTTACTATTGATTGTCAGGTTTCTGCATTGGAACAAGCTCACCCAGTTCCAGTTGATTTTTTTATCTCCCATAAAACAAGAGTCCTGACTATAACTGGTCCTAATACCGGGGGCAAAACCATTTGCCTAAAGACAGTTGGATTGGCTGCTATGATGGCAAAATCAGGTTCACTGTACATCATTTTTTTTCATGTGACTGTTCATCTGACATTGAATCCTTTCCTCCAGTGTGATTTATGTACTGCAAACTTCTTATTTATTTCACTATTCGATTTAGGTTCTTAAAGATCTCACTTTATACAATTCAAAATGTATCGTGCATAAGGATGAAGAGCATAAGTAATCCCTTTGGGCATAATATATGAAAAGTAGAAGAGTCACTCGATGAAAATTTTAGCCACATACCAGTTTCTGGATGTATGCTAATAATCAGAGTGGAAATTTCATGCATTCTATGTCACATGGCTCATGCTGGAAAAAAAAAAAAGCTTAGTCTTGGAAGAATTTGACATTGCATCAGATGTTTTACTCATGACCATTTATTTCTCTTACATAACCTTCTTGTTTGAAATTGCAGGTCTTCATGTTTTGTCATCTGAATCTGTACAAATTCCTTGGTTTGATTCTGTTTTTGCTGATATTGGTGATGAACAGTCCTTGTCTCAATCTCTATCTACCTTCTCTGGCCACTTGAAACAGATAAGTGTAAGGATGATATGCTTTCCAGATTTCTTTTTTGTTTGTTTCTGTTAAAAAAAATTTTAATCATGGATATGCAGGCTAGAGCACTTTTTTTTTAATCATGGATATGCAGGCTAGAGCACTATAAATTGCTTACAATGTTTCTAACTTTGAATAGTCACCTCTTTCTTGATTCATTTTCCAGTATCTTGCATGTTATCAGACATCCAGAGGCTTTTCAAATTGATTGCATATTGTTAATGAGATTGTGCGTTGAATGATAAACCTTGGTGTTTCTACTAACAGACAGTCTTCAATTTGATATCTTCTCTTTATCAATGAGAGTAGGAGCTCTTCCAATTCAATGATTATGAGTTGTTAAAGAGATCTCTGCTCTATATTTTTAGACCATGCCCAATATCTTCTTTTCAAATCATTTTCCATCTTCCAGATAAGAGAATTTCCATGGAATTTAACAGATTCACCATGCAGGACATTCGATCTCAATCCACAAGTCAGTCACTGGTGCTACTAGATGAAGTGAGTCTATGATTGTTTTTACTTCATTGATATTTAACTACTAGTTACTGAGACTTGTCAAATAAATCTAGACCAGTAAACATATAATGCATATCTATTGCATATATAGGTTGGTGCAGGTACAAATCCTCTTGAAGGAGCTGCATTGGGGATGTCATTGCTGGAATCTTTTGCTGATAGTGGTGCCTTACTGACAATAGCTACAACACATCATGGTGAACTTAAGTCCCTGAAGTACAGGTATTTAGCAAATCAAGTAAAGATGCAATGATTGCATGAAGAATGCTGCATATCTGTAGATCATATTTCCTTATCAATGAGAAATTCATCATAATTAATCAATATCCATTCTGGTTCATGTTTAGTTTGACCCAAGTCTTGCATTGTTAACTGGCTCTTGCATTGCATGGTGTACTGTCACAAGCACTCTGTTGCCAGTTCCATGTTCTCAGTTTCATGTGTTAATGCTTCTTCTTGCCAGTAATGATGCCTTTGAAAATGCTTGTATGGAGTTCGATGAAGTGAACTTAGAGCCAACTTACAAGATTCTCTGGGGAGTACCAGGTTTTCCTCTTGGGTGCATAACTAATTAAGTTTTTATTGGATGTGAGGATTGCTTGTAATTTGATTTATAATGTTTGAAAACTTTATCTCTCCCTTTGTTATTTATTCTGTCGCTTTTGGATATCAAGGACATGGTATTTAAAAGAAGTATCGGATAGGGAAATCAAAATTTTGTAATTTTTTTGCCACTTTCCCAAGTAAAGGTTTTTAACAAATAGGGAAGTGACTTTTCATCTCAAACTAGGAGAATAGCACAGGGTAACGCCCTTTCTCCATTTCAAAAACATCTCTCTTCATTCAGCGCTAGACAATGGAGCTTTCATTTGATATGAGGTGTGGTTGTGAATTTTAGACCTATGGGCTTTGATAAGAAATTTATACATTTGAGAAGTAGGGGCTTTTAAAAATTTGCATGGTTTCCAAAGCTTTTTGGTTTAAACATGCACTTCCCTTGTGCTTAAGAGTGGGTTAGGATGCTCTTGCCTGCTTGTCATGATTGTTCATTGTATCAGTAACTATACTTCATAACATAACAGCTGCGGTTTTTCCTATAGGTCGTTCAAATGCAATTAATATATCTGAAAAATTGGGACTCCCCAGTGTAGTTGTTTCTAACGCCCGAGAACTTCATGGTGCTGCTAGTGCAGAGATTAATGAGGTAGCGTGGACCTATCCCATGCAAGGTTTATTCTTGGTTATACTTTGAAATCATGAACATCTTGTCAGCTGTATGATTTTTGACCGCTTTTGGTAACAATTACCGTTGTTTTTTTCACTCGACTGTGATAAAATCCAAAGAAAAACTTATGCATTATCTGCTTTGTACTTGAAAATAAAGAGTAAAGAACTTAATGGAAAGTTTACTGTTTTAACTATGTATTTCTGAATATCTCGATTGAGACTTTTTGTCATCTCCATTCTCCAACATGCAAAGCAAATTACTGGAAGATTAAAATTTGTTTCTTCATTGTAATTTTCAAGCTGTCAAGTACTGTATCTTTAGAATATCTTGCAGGTCATAATTGATATGGAAAGGTTCAAGCAAGATAGTCAAAAGCTTTTGCATGAGGCACGGCATCATCTGATGTGAGAATCTGTAGCTTAAAGACTACATAGAAAATTGTTCTTCATGATTTCAATTGGGAAGTGCATTATGTAACATCTGGAATATAAATCATCCAAATAATAACAGGCAAGATCTGAAACTCTGGCCATCAACATGCTAATACAGTTTGTTTGTTTTAAACTGGGGTATCTCTTTGACCAATTTATGTCAGATAAATTCTTCTATCATAAATGGAGGAAGTTGTTGCCCCATTTGTGTGTGTGATTAAATGAACAAAGTTATCCCTAGTCCCTATCTGCACCTGCTAAATATATTTTGCAGTTAGAGCAATGACTCAATGCCTTATCCTTGTTATTGGATGTAACGCAAGAACCATGCATGCCTTCCAATTCAGAAAGGCTCGGGGGCTATTTTTCCACAGGCATATTGTTCTTTTCAAGTTGCTTTTGACCTGTTTTACTCCTTTTATTTCTCTTTTTTCCTTGCATATCTTTTAGCTAAAAGGAATACAGTTTTACAGTAAAGATCATTATGTCCTGACCATTTACTCTCTCACATCACTTTTATTTCTTCAATAGAAAGATGGATTTTGTTTACCTTTTCTTATGTTGCTCAGCACTTGGTTCAGTTCTCACTGTCAGTAAAGAGCAGGATTGTAAACTTGTGGGTGCTCTATCTACTATCTTTTTTCATTTTTAGGCTCTCAAAAAATCTTCATGAAAAACTAAAGCTTGCCAGAAGGAAGATAAAGGAGCATGGTACTGAACAGAGATACCGTAAGATGCAGCAAATATCTGAGGCTGCATCAATGGCACGTTCTATCCTTCACAAGAAAGTGCGGCAGCTTCGTGCATATGCAACACAAACTTTTCAGCCTACAGCAGATCAAAAACAACTGTCAACAAGTGATAGCTGGTTTACTGCAGAGGCTAAGAATGGACGGCCTACAAAGAGTATGAGTACTTCAGTAGTTGAAATCAATAAACAACCATCAGGTATTTTTTGAATGAAAGTACAAGTTTCTATTGGAACTTGTTTGGAAGACAGTTTCTTTATGCAGAAGTGGTTACTTGTTGGTGCCAGCTTGTTCTTACTTGGTTTATGTTAAGCAAAAAATCTAAAATTTAGTATGTTCACAGCAGCAATGACTGAGCTTCCTGAGGTTGGTGATATGGTGCAAGTTTCTTCGCTAGGAAGGAAAGCAACAGTTTTGAGAGTGGATCGATCTAAGGAAGAAATACTAGTTCAAGCTGGCAACATGAAGCTGAAGTTGAAACTTGCTGAAATAGGAGTTAAATAGTAAGAAAAAGGCATACTTGCATGTGCAAAATGGGTGAGAGAACATTTCTGCTTAATTCACTAATTGTTCCCTCTTTTTGGTCTAAATTACCATTATGTCATTTTTCAGAAACAGTGGATTGTCTTATTATATGCCATTGGTTACATGCAAAGGCAGACGCAGTTATGCACCCTCGCGCACGCGCATATCACGTTTGTATGTATGTGCATATGCAATCCAATATTTCTACCTTGTCAGATACTATGAATTAATGCATTTTATCTTTATATCCAGAGGTACAGAGGCATCATGTAGATGACCAGCAGTTCATGTTCCTTTCATGGAAAACATGCTTGTTCTGCCCTTTGGAGGGAGGGATTTTATCGAGCAAGATCCCAACATCATCTTCAGGCTCAGTCGGGGGGAATACTAGTAGAGTATAAAAGGGACGGGGATTAACTGGAAACAGAAATTCAAAATTTCAAGAAATGAAGAGCCTTGACGTCACTGACTGTAATCAATATTCTTGGAACGGCCCCCTTGTATGCTGAGGAAAACCCAATCCATTAAATGTTGTCCACTAATAGCTGAAGATACTGAGACATAGGAGAGTTAATGTTGTATCGTTTCTGTGTTTGGTCGGCAACAGTTAAGTTAAATGACAAACCATGTGAATATTACTAATGGCAATACAAATATTAACACTTTGTATGCTCTCTTATGATATGCGGTTTATCTTATTTTTACAAAATTGGATGCATCTGGACTTCTACTAGAAACGCTAAGGCATGGAGTTTGCCAGAAACAGAGAATATGCTTCTTTAAAGAATAGTTTTGAAACCCGGTTCAACTTGATGGATTGACTTCAGATCTAGAAGATTCAGGGTTGAAATCGGGTCGGGTTTAAAAAAAATAAAAAAGAAAAAACCCGGTGTGATCCGACTGATCTGGGAAGAATAGTTTTGAAACCCAGTTCAACTTGATGGATTGACTTCGGATCTAGAGGATTCAGGTTTGAAATCGGGTCGGGTTTAAAAAAAACAAAAAAAAAACCCGGTGTGATCCGACTGATCTGGACTTGGCGACTCGATTGATCTAGTAAGATCTTCTCATGAACCGGTTGTAAACTTGTTGATTTTTGTATTTTTTTTTGTTAAAACAATGTTATTTTAAAGTTGCAAACTTGTTGATTTTTGTATTTTTTTTTTTTTGTTAAAACAATGTTATTTTAATTTTAAAAAATAAAATTTGACCATGTTGATCCAGTGACCTAATCAAAACTTAAAATTCAGGTCTTAAACCGGTTAGTTTTAAAATTCTGCTTTGAAGTATGATAATGAGTTACAACAAATACAGGAATTTGGTTAATTTTTAAAAAACATTAAAAAAGATATTAAAGTATTATTATAAATAATAAGCAATATGCGTATAAATTTAAAAAACAACTTGTATATTTAATAAAAAAACACATAGTTTAATTAAAATAATTTAAAATAATATTAATTTTTTAAAATATTAAAATGATAATATATTGAATATATATAATTCATTATAATTTTATATAAAATAAATTTAAAATTTGTTTTCACTGGTCGTAGGGATCATGATTTGTACCGCTAATATTAAGGGTTATTATTGGTGCTTTGGGATTATGATATTAATTTGTTTTCATTTTGTGCTTATTGGACAGCTTTTATTTTAAATTATGAATGATAATTTTTCTATTTTAATATTTTAAGAGCTTTTTAGTTATTAAAATGAATATAATAATAAATTTATAAATAATTATATATTTTTATTGAATTGTTTCTTAGAATGGTAAGTGTTAATGTTTATATGAAGTTAAATTATAGCAGGAAAGTGAAAAGAGGTTTCCTTTTTTTTGTAATTATTTAAAAAATTAAATGAAAAATACCAATGTTGCTCATCTAAAAAAAAAGGATCGGGATAAAATACATTACAAGAAAAGAACTTAAAAAAGAAAAAAAAAATTAAGCATATAAAATCACTCATAAAGCAACCAAAAAAAAAAAAAAAAACTAAGCATATAAAATCACTCATAAAGCAACCTTATTTTTAATATAAAAAGAAAGAATCTTGTAATGTTGGACCATTTAAAGGAGAATAAAATCTAAGGTTATGAGAGGAGAAGTCGATTGTTATCCTTTCGAGGCTAAACAGAGACATTCAATCAGATATTTGATTTGTTAAATAAATCAAGTATTAAAGACCCACTCCAAGAACTAGTTGCCACTTTAAAGTCTGAACACTTTCAACATAAACACTGCTATCATAGATGCAATGTCAAGACCTATAAGACCGTACAGCATCACCATCTTTTGTTTTTGTTTTTGTTTTAGGGTTTAGATTCTTATTTAAAACAACTAGAGGATGGGTAATAAATTAAATACCGAGCTCAAGGTTGAGTAAATTATCAGATTTATAATCTTTTAGTCTTCACATGGATTAAAGGGCAAGGAGCTTAAAAGAAAGAATCTTCAATGTTCATTTTTCATATCATATTCACTTTCAGAGATTCTTTTAATTTTTTCAAAAAAATATTTATTTAAATATTTAAAAGCCCTAAAATTTATAAAAGAAAGCCTTTTATAAATATCAGTAAATACCCAATATCCAAGAATAAATTAAGTTACTAGAATCAAGAAATTAACCGATTATTAATATATAAATCTCATTCTTAATTAACTCGGATTTTCAGAGACATCTGAAACCCCTTAATAAACAGCTAGAAATTTTATGCATATATCATATTCACTTTCAGAGATTCTTTTAATTTTTTCAAAAAAATATTTATTTAAATTTTGAAAAGCCCTAAAATTTATAAAAGAAAGTCTTTTACAAATATCAATAAATACCCAAGAATAAATTAAATTACTAGAATCAAGAAATTAACAGATTATTAATATATAAATCTCATTCTTAATTAACTCGGATTTTCAGAGACATCTGAAACCCCTTAATAAACAGCTAGAAATTTTATGCATGGGAATAAACCTCCACGGACTTGTGAATAGATCATGAAATGATACATTATCAATTAGTTAACAAACCTATCGATCTCATCAAAACAAGGTAATACAAGGGCAGGTCGTTCATTTTAAATGAAAGCCGTTCTGCATATGACAAGCATTAGCCATCGGCAGCAACCAGATTAACTATTAATCACGTCAAGATTAGAGCTTCAGATCAAATTACACAGCCGAGCTGGCATCCATCACCGAATAAAGTTAAGCCTGTGCTCAAATGCGTAGAAAACAAAAAATAAAGACACGTGAAAAACAAAACAAGAGGGCTGGGTCCATCTGGTTACGGATACAAAAGATGAGATAAATGGGCTGGGCTTGGGCTTCCTTATTGTACACGGACACGAGCGTACATGTTAAGTGCGGATAAATTAAATGAAAGCCAATATGACACCCCGTTTCATTATTCTCTCTCTCTCTGTTTTTTTTCAATAGACATCACATGAGGTGGGAAAATTGAGCTGCTATGTGACATGTTCAGACTTGAAAGCGAAGCGGGAGGAAGACATAAAGTGGGGGGATAGAGACAGGCAAAGCAGATAGACACGTGACAAGTTAATTAATTAAGAGACAAAATTATATTACACGCTCTATTATTATTTTAATCACCATATCTGAGATTTCTTAGTATATTAAATGAGGATATATATATTTACCGTTATGTTGTGAGGAAATCCAATTTTAATTAACATCTCAACTGATTTAAAACTATTTATAATTATTGGTACGGTGTATTATTAATTGTAAGCATAGGATTAGGATATCCAACTCCGGATCTTCAAAGTCAAGTTTAAATTAATGAACTAATAAGTCTCCGTAGATGTTATGATAAATTTATGTTTGTTTGCATGCATGCATGTATGTGGAGAGGAGATGGAGGGTCAAGTCAACACTCATCAGGAATGGAATTGGAGGGGGGGTGGGGGGGAGCATCTCTTGTTATGCATAAAATTTCTATAAATAATCCTCATCCCCGACTTCTGTGCTCCTCACCCTCATTATTAACAGGGAGAGACGAGAAGAATTCGTCAAGTCTGTCTGTGTGGTGAGAGAGAGTGTGTGTGTGTGTGTGTGTTGGGTACAGGTTAGATTTGTTTGGCAGGTGAGGTGTAGTGGCATCGTCGGCCGTTCGATCGATCATTATCTTTTCTCATTACCTTTGGCTCCTCCTCCTCTTCACATCACCAGATCAGTTCAGATCAGGTCAGGTCATTTGCCCTTTCCTTTCTTTCTACTGTATATTGATTCTCAATCACTGCCCCTTTTTATTACGTCATTTTTCTTTCTTTTTTTTTAATCTTAGTTTTGGAGCTCAGATCTGTTCTTTTTCTCTTTTCTTAGAAGAATTTCTTTTTAGAATCCTTGGAACATGAATCACTCATTATATAATATTATAATAGCCTTGGACTCCTGACAGACACCCTAATCAGTGTCTGTTATAACTATGGATATGATTGTTGGAATTTGAATTCTTGTCGGAATCGTCTTTCCTTTTCCCTTCTTTTCGTTTCATCGAAGACACAGTAGATTTCCTTTCCTTTACATTACATTACTGAATAAAAAGGTGGGAATTTGGACAAGAAAACAAAAGGGAGAACCTCTTCTTTCGAGCAATACTTGAGTTTCGTCTCGGATGAGCTTGACCCCATTCTTCTGGTGGCTTTGCAGATTTCTTTGAAGCTGCCAATGGATGTCTTTGGTAAATCCATCCTGTCTGCTCCTGCCAATGTTGTTTATCTCTCCACTATTCTTGGCCTCGATGGCCCAATTCCTGTCCACAAATGTGACTGCAAGTGTCAGAATGAACATGTCCTTGCCAACATGTACCGCTGCAGCCTCACTGGTCTCACTCACATCTGTGACAAGAACTGTAACCAGAGAATTTTGTATGACAACCATTCCTCCCTTTGTTGCGCAAGCGGCCGGATTTTCCCCCTTTCCCCAGCTGAGGACCAGGCTGTCAGAGGAGTTCGCAGGAAGCTCGATGCTGAGAATAGCAGTGCTCCCACTGATAGCTGTTCTTTCAAGCGCAGGCGTGATGCACAGTTTCATCCTTCTCCTTTCGAGAGATCTTTCTCTGCTGTCAGTCCAATCTGCAGCCAAGTTGGAGATGGCATGGATATGAGCTAGATATAATCTATCGTATAGCTGAAATAACCCTTTCTCTTTTTATTCGTGACGTTTATTTGAAGTTTCTCCTTTTAATGTTTCTCGGAATGGATACGGATGTCTTTGAACTCAATATGGGTACTACAATGGTGGACCATAAGTGTCCCCCTCTATGGAGGAACTTAATATTTATTTTTCATATGTAATGCAATGTAGCGGTTCCAATAGCATAGCTTGACTTTCGATAGGAGATCTTGAACTTGCTCCATTCACTCACTTATGAAGCTAGAGTTTAGTTCATTTTCATTCAAGCTCTCCTATTCCTTTTGAATTCAAACTAACTTCTGGTGCTTTCAGGTCTTTTGCAAGACTTTTATATCTATAGGGTGTTATCAACTTTTAGCGATTTGATTTACTTCTTAATGCAATTATTTTGTGTCTACCGTGTTTTGATCTGCTTTTTGTGGATGTGCTTATTTTGTGCCTTTTAAGTTTTAGAAACACAAATTCGTTGAGATACGTTTAATACTAGCTGACTTCATTACGTTTGTGTTGAGTGTACTAACCTTCATAAATCTGTGTGTGTAAGTTTATGAAAAAGATTTATCTGCTATTTTTTGCCCTTCATGTTTTCGGTGGTGGTTGTATTTGGGTGCTGCTGGTTATGCAGCATAGTTTTTATCAGGGCTTTTCTGCATTGTTCTGTGCTCAAACTTACCTGCTGCTATGCTTTATTTTGTCTGGTTTATTGCAGGTTGAAGACCAATATTGCGTTGATTCCTTGCTTTTATTTGTTGTTGTTTACTCAGTCTTGCTTTCCTAATTAGATTTGATGTATGGTTTCCTTAAGTAACTTCTAATTTTGCAGGGATTGGAGTGTATACAATCCAGGAGACGTTAAATATACTTCTCTGTTATCATTAATGAATTATTGTTTTTGAGAATTTTGTTGATAATGTAAAGTTCAAAGAGTTTATTTTATCTTTTACAGGAGTTTCTCCTTTCTTGCTGTAGTGATTGATGTGGCATGGAACTGCTGCTGATGGATTGAGAAGATAGTGCATTTACCTGCAGTTCACTTCTATGTTGTTGAAGGTCTGAATTCCAGACTAATCTTGACTGCTGGTTTATTTTTTAACTTGCCATTGTCTCTGCTTTATGATGCAGGTATTTCAAGATCTAATTTCCTGCTTATCAAATGATGTTGGGCTGTCGTATTTATGTTTTTTTTAGAGCCTGCCTTATTGTCTGTTTCAGTTGATTACCTACCTTACATACCTGCTTTGTGTATGAATGTGGCAGATGGAACCTGATTGATGGAATTACTATTGCATTGTGAATTGCAGAGGCAAAAGGAATTTCCTTATTTTTATGGCGAGCTTGAAGCCTTGAAGAGCAGAGCAGCTACATATAAGTTGTCAGAATTGCTGGCTTCAACCTCTGGAATCTGTTAAGGCCAAGCAAAGCTCGTCTTCAGCCTTTGGAATCAATAGAGTCCACACAGCGCTACGCCTATCTCGGTTGCTATTGGTGTAAGAGGGAGTTAAGTTTTGTATCTGACCTGTTCTGAAGCTCCTGAATAAGTACGCTGTTATAAATTCTGGCTCATAGCCTCCCCTTTCTGGTCTAAAACTTCCCTGTTCTCCAGCATTTATCCAAACAGCGAAAATTTGATCCCTGTGGATTTAATGTGGGAGTAGATTTAGTTTGTTGGGGTTTATTTTGGATACATGCATTAGCACTTGTATCCTCGTCATATTCTAATAAAAAGTAAGAAATAATGCTTCTCCCTCGTCGTTTACAATTTAAACGTTTCTCGGCTTCTTGGTTGTAATTTGTGGTGTCCATTCGCCCTTTGATCAAGTATAAACAAGATGATGGTGCCTGTTTTCTTATCACCATCTGCTGTGCTATGCTTCACAGGCTGAAAGTCTTTTTCAGTGATGAACAGGATGGTTTTAGTATTAAACTTCAGAAGGATTGATCCAATAAAACAGGAAAAAATAGGAGAAAAAGGTGAAGGGTAATCCGCATTGATTGCACAATGAAATGCGCTTAACGAAGTCACATGCCCCCAAAACCTGTGGGCGTAGACTGTGATGGCGATGATTTGAAGGCAAATCCCACACTTTTATGATATTGATGTCATTTCAACCTGTTAATTTTTATATGTTTCTTTCATTTTAAGAGAGAAGCAGCTCGGAACCTTTTCTTTCTTTGAGGGGAGAAAGAGGGGGGACAGGAGCATGACTTTGCATCATCTGTCTGTAATATATAAATGCTGTGCCAATGCAAAAGGAAGGAAGGAATCGCTTCAACATGTGGCCATTAGGAATAGGATGAAAGAAATACTAAACCCAGAAAAGTGATATTGCGGCTCAGTGTTCAGCAAAGCAACGTAACCTTTCAGGTTTGGATTTTCCATAGCGCGCAATCATCTCCAACCTAGATTCTTCCCCTACATTATCTAGGAGACGGCCCTCAAAATGCTACCCTACCCACTGCTATCCGTCTCTCCTGAGGCTACATTTTACAAAGCTACAAGAAGCATCCACCAGACTTCTCATGACGCCCTTTACGTTACCACTTTTCCGTCTAATTCTCACTTCTTTCCTAATCCCTCTTTCCTACTCGTGCATTTTTACAATAACAAACGATTGCCCTTATACCATATGGCCCGGTACCCTAGCAGGCGCAGGCAACCCGCAACTTGCAACTACTGGATTCCGCTTGGATTCTGGTCAAAGTGTGAGCATTTCAAGTGTCCCAGGGTGGTCAGGTCGGATATGGGCAAGGACAGGATGCACATTTGACGGCTCTGGAAATGGCTCCTGTCAAACTGGGGATTGCGGGGGTAGGCTGGAATGCGTAGGCAATGGTGCTACTCCACCAGCGTCGCTCTTTGAGATAACCCTTGGCACAGGCAATGTCAAAGATTACTATGACGTCAGCCTCGTCGACGGCTACAATTTGCCTCTTGTTGCCGCACCCGTTGGAATCCACGGTGCATGTAATGTCACTGGCTGCGTTTCAGATGTCAACATGGGTAAGGTTTTCCACCTTCCAACTAAGATTTTGGGCTCCTCGGCAAGACATTGACCTCATCGCTTCAACTTTTCGTATCTATAATTTCAAATAGGTTGCCCAAAGGAACTTCAGGTGGTAGGCGACGATGGTGGAGGAGGAGGTGTGGTTGCTTGTAAAAGTGCTTGTGAGGCCTTTGGACTGGACCAGTACTGTTGCGGCGGGGAGTTTGCCAACCCAACCACATGCCGACCATCCTTTTATTCAACCATTTTCAAACGAGCATGTCCAAGGGCTTATAGCTACGCTTTTGATGATGGCACCAGCACTTTCACATGCAAGGCTTCTGATTACGCCATCATCTTCTGCCCCACTGCCAACCGGTATTGCTTCCTTTCCCTTGTTATTGATTTTTTCTGCCTGTTTTTTATCATTTCGTTTCAGATAAGCGTAAGTAGTATTAAAATAAAGAATGAATCTCTGGCACAGGATCGAGACGCCTGATGGGGCAGACACAGCTTCTGTGATTCCCAAGCCCAGTAATGGGGAGACAATGAAGCTGGTTTCCTCCTCAAACTTTCTCCGACCTCTTCCATTGCTGTTCCTTCTCTTCATCCTCTATTTAACCTAATGAACATAGATGGAATCTTAATCTGCCTTGCTAGAGTAAAGCAACTCCACTGAACACCTTGCATCGTTCGGAATGGTGAAGAACCTCACAAATCCTGCACGGAGAGTTGGACTATTGCAGAAGAGCACCAAGTGCTATTTCAATTCTCCTGGAAATGAATCCTTTTGCCAGAATGAAGTTGAAATAGTTTATTAGTGTTCCTATTGTAGAAACAGCAAATTGGACCATGTCTTGGTATGAAAAACATAAACAAATGTAAAATAACCTTCTTCCAAAATAAGATTCATAAGCTACATTGATTAAATTCCAGCAAGTAAAAAAAACCTAATCTAATGGTAATTTCTATACCAACCTTAATCAGCTAGGTTATATATGGTCATTGTTCATGGTTTATGCAATATATATGATAAAAATATTGCACGCAAGTCTCTTATTTTTTAGTCTTGGCTTTCTTCGATACTTGGGTCTTCTTTCTTACTTTCTTTACTGGCTGCGGCTTTCCTACTGCAGTTTTACCTTTCTTTCGAGCCACTCCCTGCATCCAAACTCGCATAAATAAGCATAAATGGAATATATTGTAAAGCTAAGCAAAAGCATGGTTTCTAGCAGTTCATGAAAGAGTAAAGACTTTGAAGTACTTGAAGATTTAAAACATACAGATGATTTCACAGGTTTTCTCTTAGTTTTTCCATTGGCTGGTTCTTCAAAACCCTCATTCTGATCAGTTTGAAGTGCAGTAGCCTTTGTTATCTTGTCAGTCTCATCTTCAGAATCGAAAGAAAAACCCTCAAGCGTTCCTACTCATACAGGTCATTTTTAGCGAACTACGAAGGTGAGTTCTTTTATTCAAAGGGATATTTCTCGATAAAGTATTTACAATAAAGAAACAATTGAAAAAAACCCTAACCTTCAACCATAGTTTCAGCTTCGTAAACATTAGACTGTGTTTTTAGCTGAATGAAGTCATTCATAATAGCCTCTATCTGATCAAGCACAAGATCAAAAATAATAAAACATTATCTGAGCTGCATAGAATGAGTAATAGGAAGAGGGAATTAGGCACACCTTTGCCTCTGATTGACCAAAGCTAACCTGAACCAAAAGAGAAACATGTTACATCATGCAATCATGCCTTTTAAAAGTAAAAAAGTACAGCAGAACCCATGGAAATCATGAGACTGAGTGTTGGGGTGAGAAAGGGAAACTACAGGGGGTGTCAAATACGTGAATAAAAAATTTCAAGCAGAGATCCATGACATACAATGCAAAAGGTTCTGGAAGGAACTATTGTTGTTCTGTATATTGTGCCTGAAACAACAAAGTTAAGTAAATCAGAAGCAAGCTCCCTATGGAGGCATCCATGACAAAACAGACAAGGACAAGGTTTTTGAGGTGGATATCAAAAGCTAGCCACCAATGAAGAGAAAAACACATAAAGAACTAGGTCATGGTAAAGTAAAATGTTGGGGAAGTAAAACAGCAAACTTTTTGTTGGGACACTTTCCACAGATTGCTCGAGCTAATTTCTAATAAAGTTTAGTTATAGCAACATTAACATGATTGCTGTGAATTGTGTTGCATGCACAGAATCTGTAAAATCATCCATGATGATTCTGAAGGAAAAAAGACCTTTCATTACTGAAAAATTAATGCATAAATTTTTATCTGCCACAAGAAATGGTTGGGCTTTCTTCTGGCTATATTAGATGGGGAGTATTTGAAATTATACCAAATGAAGAACGTATAACAAAACAAAAGACACCTTTTAAGTCTAGGTACATTTCAGAATTCCCAGATGGGGTATCTGGAACCACTACCCGCCCAACAGCCCCCATATCGCCGCTTAGATCTATGGATTCACCTTCACACTCAACAAGTGCCTGCATCATAAAGCTTTTAGTTAATAACTGATGTGCATGTGGATGCATGTATAAAGTCATCTATCATTTCTTTATATACATATTATGTGGCAAGAGCCAGAGAACCATCAAATCAGAAGCAAACCCATTATCGAGCAGGGGGGTACATGGAGCAGAAAACAATCTCTAAAGAAGTCATCAAGGGACCAAACAACTAAGCAATACAAACATAAGCAGCCAGCAGTGATTAGTTTGCTTCTTCCCAGAACTGGCCTTCTCTCTTCCCTGTAGAATTATTATTTGAACTTCTATAAAATATTGAGACAAAAAACCTAACAATATAAGAGAAATATGTCTATTAATAGCATCCAAGACAGCACCATGGAGTTAGAAAGTTAAATGATATTTATAATTAAAGCAGAGGAAGCAAGAGGTGTTTTTTTAAGACCAATAGGATTCCTACCTTAGAGCGCTGGACTTTCTCAGAGAGTACCAATGGTAACCTTGATGTAGACACCTGCATGCTTATCTTGCTATGTTAATTGGGTGAAACATGGGAAAGTGGAAAAGAGAATAGTTGCTACACATAATTCTTACATGAGCATTCATATGCTTCTCAGATGTGTCTTCCTCAGTGATTTCCGCATCCCCATAGTTTCCTGTAACTTCAATTAAGAACATTTTAAGAATATGAGAGAGAGGTCTTTGAGTGAAATTTGGAAAAATATAAAATTCACCACAATTTCCATCTTCTACTTGTACCTTTGCTTTGCAAGTTGTCATTTCCATTCTTCCCATTCTTTGGAGTGCGACCCTCTGCTTTTGAAAGTTTCTTCGGAGATTTACTTTTTGAGGCCTTTTTTACAGGAGACACTTCTCTGCTGTGCATAAGAACAAGATCCTCATTGTTTCTGCTCTCTTCAATTTTATTTTTTCTGGAATCCCTTGCAGGGCTATTATCAGGACAAGACTCAGAGTCCGATGATAATGCCCAAACTGAATGGTTTGATGCCTGTTAGCATCATTGTACTTGTCATCAACATCAACCATATAAATAGCAAGCTACACATCTCAGAACTAAACATTCAAAACCAGTAACCATCCTAGACCTTCCTGGTAAAGAAACATTCCACACCAATAGTTGAAGAAAGAAAATCTAAAACTAGTTGACAGTATACCATATCTTGTTAGAGCAAGGAATGGTTAGAAATTAGATATTAACATCTAAGTTCGCTACACCAGAACATGCACGGAAGAGGACAATTAAGTGCAGGGGAGGTGGCATGCCAACAATTGGATTCCTTCACCTATGATACCAAGAAGGATGTCACTCTTAGAAACACTTACAGCTTTTAGCAGAGGATTAAAGATAAACTTCCCTCTGTTTGCTCTTTGAAATCAGCCACAGCATTATCAAACATCAACTTTTGACAATACACAATAGTCTTCATTAGCATATAACCTATTAAACAATAGTATTCCTTCACTATAGGAGCCATGTATAGCCAGCAGAAGCAACATGTCTATTTTGATATTCAGCCTTGGACAAAACTCTCCCACAAACTCCATCAACTCCCAAAACAGACTATTGTTTATACTTCATACCTTACTGTACCAATCAATCATGAACTAGTGGCACTAAACTCATCTGAACACAAAAGAAGTGTTGGTATAAATGTTCTTACATGAGGTTCTTTTGTGTGATTCGCAAATGTGCCATCCTCAACATCTTGTCCATCACCCCCATCCCCTGAATCATTTTCAGAAAAACAAGTATTGAAAACCAAGACTAAATGAATCTTATTTTTCCAAAAAAAAAAAGGGGGGTAAAAATCCACCATAGACAAGGCTTGCAAATAGTGGTAATGTAGCTACCATACAAGCACAAACCAATACCATTTGACCAATACAAATAGCGAAGAAAAAAATCTTGTTTCACCTTTTCTTTTCTTCTTCTTAGCTCCCCCTTTTGGTTTGGAAATCTTATTGGATGGAGCATCAGCAGTAGTTGGACCAACAAGATCGTTGCCTTCCTTTGACGATTGAGAATGAACCGTATCATCCCTATAAGGACTGGCCTTAGGCGATGACGCTGAGTCAGATGACAATGTCAGAGCTGGGGCCTGCCAAGCAATGCCTTAATTAGCCAGTACCCCGGATAGTAAGCATTAAAATAAAAGAAAAAGGGGAAATAACAGACCTGGAAAGAACGGAGCCAGTCTGGAGAATCCTCCCGAGAGCTATTGCTCATTTTGGTTGAATTAACAGCAATCAAATTTCAACATACATGCAATATTATTAATAATCTGTAAAACAAAATCCATTCCTCTTTGCTTAGTATTAGTTAGATTTAATAGAAATGCAGAAATGGAAACCTTTATTATGCAGTTAAGGAATGAATTCTCTCTCCTTCGAATTTCTAAATCATTTGATAAAAGAAGAACAAGCCCTAAAACCGGAAAGTGGAAATTGGTGCGTGAATCTTAAAAGAAAATGCCTGGCCAGAGCATATAGACATGGAGAGAGAATACTTACCAGAGCTGTAAAAATCAAAATATTCGATGGCGTACAGGTTCAGGCACCAATAAGCGGAGCTCTCCCTCTTTCTCCCCTCCCTCTCTCTGCGATGTGCGCGCTACAGTATCCAAGAGTCCAGACGTGGGCTACTCAGAAATCACAAGCATGTCTTCGGGGGCGGGTGAGCCAAGGTTTGTTTGCACTTTGCAATGCAATGACAAGAGAGGCCCTAAAAGTCCTGAGACACTGCTTAACCAGCCCATCCAACTGCTACTAAAACCCAAATTATCTAGGTGTAGATGAATTTTTATTGAATATTAAAAACTTTATATTTAAAAAATATGTATTACATTATCTAGATGTAGATGAATTTTTATTGAATATTAAAAAAATATTTAACTATTGTTAATATGTTTTTAAAAAAAATTAAATTAAATAAAGGTAATTTAATATGTTATAGTTAACTTTACAGGTTCAAAGATAACTTAAATGACTAATAAAAATATAATTTAATTAAAAAATTCAAAACAATATCTTTTTTAAATATTGAGATAATAATATATTGGATTTATTTAGATTTATTCAGATCAACTTAAGTTAACTCGTTAAATTTTTAATTTAAGTCATAAGACCCTGATAACCCTATAGAAAGTAAATAAAAAAATATTAAATTTAATTTTCATTGAAGAATGAAATTAAAAATAAAATTCAATTAAAAAAATCAAGTCAACTCGGGTTAATCTGTCAAACTTTCATCATGAAACCAAGATAACAGTATAGAAATAAAATTGAAACAAATTATAAAATTCAATTCTCAACAAACTCAATGTTGAAGAATTAAATTATAAAAAATTAAAATTAAAAAAGACAAAAAAACCACTTGAATCAACTTGAGTTAACCAACCAAAATCTTAATCTAAATCATAAGGTTGGAATAACTTTATAAAAAGCAAACTGAAATAAATTATGAAATATAATTCTCAATTAACTCAATATTAAATAATAAAATTTAAAAAATAAATTTAAAAATAACAAAAAAAAAACTTAAGGTGACTGAGCTAACTCTTGGTTTAGTTATGAAATTATAATAACTCAATTTTTAAAGAATTAAATCGGATAAAAAATTTCTAAATTTAAAAATTTTTCAAAAAAAATAAAAAAATAAAGATTAAATATATTAGAAAACAAATTCAAGAGGGTGGGATCATAAAAAGAAATAACATGAAATTCTAAAAATTATCTTAGACCGCAAAGAATATCAACTAAAACATCAAAGACCAAATTTGACAAAGCAAGAAATTCAATAAGGATGAAATTGAAATAAAAAACTAATCTAATGACTTATTTTTTTAAAAAAAAAAAATAGAACCAAAAGCAAAAGGAATAAATTAAAATAAAATGAAAGTTTAAGGGATGACTTAGAAAATCAAGTCAGAAGGCACAAACACTAAGAAAAGAAAGGGAAAAAAAGAAGAAATGTTTGCCAGTGACAAACCAAAGATCCTATTGGTGCACACACCAAACATCCAGGGAGGAAACACCATGATGAAGTTAATGTCACCCTGAAATGGCTTTTTTTATCGTTTTAATCAGTCGCACACACCATCAAACATGACAAAGTGACTGACATGCATCCAACACACGTTTGCTTTGCTTCTTTTTTTTTTCTTTTTGAAAAATATTTAAATAACTCAACACCTAATCATTAATTATATATATAAAAAAAAAAAACTATCAACAAAATGGCAGGAATACACTTTAATCTTAGAGTTAAATTTATTGACATCGAGGGCACAAAAGTTGTTTTACAATACAACTAAATAGAAAATAACAATACGGTGCTTCATTTGTTTGTTTGTTTTTTAGGCTTCTAAGAGTAAGATGGTTATCTTATTATGCATACATAACAAAAAAAAAAATACAAAAATAACCTTAATTATAAGGGGAAAAACAAAAAAAGAAGTAATGGGTAATGTTGTAATTTAAATGTATAACATAAGGCAAATTACCTCTGTTGCCCTCATTAAATTTTTAAACAAAATACAATTGTTATCCACGGTGACTTGTGTCTATATGCTTTTCCCACCTCTATTAGTTTTTTTGGTAACTATATATATATATATATATATATATATAAACTAAAAGGTGTTTCTTTTTAATTATAATTGGCACTTTTCACACTCTAACAAAACATCATGGACCTACTATGTAATTTTTAATAATTTATTTTGGTTTATAAATTTTAATTTTTGATGATTTAATTATAATTGACTGTAATTGATTAAAAGGTGTGGGTTTTTAATTGTAGCTAGCATTATTCAATTACTTTTGATTTCTTAGATAAGAGTGGAATTGGAATAAGAGGGATCAATATGAAAAAGATATCAAATATGAGTGACGTGCTAGAGATTTCATGAAAATACACTTAGGTCTTTAAGCTTTAAAAATAACACAAGTTATACAATTTAGGTCCCTTTGAATTTTAAAAAAATGAATTTTGATACAAGAGTTTATTTATATTATTTTTTTTGCCCTTAGCTAAAAAGATAGAGAAAGGTCATCAGATTCTAGTAATAAGAAAGAAAGTCATTGTTTAAACCATTTTCGAACACAAAAATATATATATATATTTTTTAAAGATTTCATGATATGAGAGTGATTTGATAATGGTTTTAATGTTACCTAAAAACATATCCAAGTAAAGGAATATAAATATAACCTAGTTTGATTTTGGATTTTTGGATCTTTTTGGATATTTGGAGTTGATAGATTGATTTATGGGTATTGATAGGGTTTTTTTAGGTTAAAATGACTTAAAAATTAGGTTTATTCTAGTAAAAACAAAGTTGCCCTATTTTTTCAGCCATCATAGTGATGGCTGGCTTGGAGGGCATGATCTTCTCTAAGGTTGTACATACCTCCACTAAATGTATGAGGTTCAGTTTTACTCGGTGCCTTATAAGTACCCACAGCGTCCCAATTTTAAGTATTTTCAGCTAACAAGTTTAAATACTCCATTACTTTATCAAGGTTTTTATCTTTAAAAGTTTCATTGCATATTAATTCAACCATTTGTGTATCCTAGGTGTTAACCCTTCATAAAATGCCTCCTTTTATAGGCCAAAATTAAAAACTATTGATTTGATAACTAATTGATGAGTGGGTGGCCAAATCCATTAATTATTTTAATGATTTTTTTCTAAGATATGTCAATTTTATTCTAAAAAATGAGGGGTGCTACAAATATTATGAGTAGATATCATTGCAAAGAACTTATCCAAAAAAATTTATCAATCTTGTTTGTACTCTTAGAAACCTATTCCCTGTTTTCCAAATCGGTTAAGTCTTGGGCACATTTTGGTTATTCACTTGCAACTATATTTAAAGCTTAGGACATTTGAGGGGGATATGGTTTTTATCTATAGGTGGTAATTTTAGGGTTTTAATTATAGACATCATAACTCAATGTGTTACACTAAAACCACATTCTAGTAATCAATCCTGGTTTTTCATTGATGTTTATGCCTCCCTAAGCCTCCCTAATCCCTAGCTTTCATTCTTTGCTCTAGGGTCACTTAGTCTTGATGAGTACAAGATTAAAAGAGGCTTGGCTTTTTAGTGCGGACTTTAACGAGATTGCTTTTCTTTCAGATAACATAAGACATTCATTCAATGCTTATAGAGCCTTCACCGCTACTAATATGATGGTTAACTATAACCTCCTTAATTTGGGATCTATTTGACATTTCTTCACCTAATAGAGCCAAACAAATGAAATTGAATGCTTAGATAAAAGGCTAGACAGAGCGCTAGCAACTCCTACCTGGCATTTATTTTTCTAGAAAGCATTTGTTGAGAATTGGCGTAGGCTGTGCTCATATCATAATCCTATCTTTTTATAGCATGGGGGTCTTTCTCTGAATATTAGGAAAAAAACCTTTTAGATTTAAAGCTATATGGGCATTCCTATCTTTTTGCAGCGTGGGGGTCTTCCTCTAAATATTAGGAAGAAATCTTTTTTATTTAAAGCTATATAGGCTGAGCATCCAAATTTCCACATAGTTATATTTGGGGTATGAAAAGATAGCGATCACAATGTGGAGAAGGCTTATGATTAGTACTTAAAAGTGCATTTTTATCAAGGTTTTATATCATCATTTTGCACTCGAAGTATCAATAACTCCTTAACTAAAGTATGTTTTATAATAATGTATCTAATAATATAAGATACCT